CAACCAATCAGATGACTGCGCTTGTCTATAATAATGTAGTTGAAATATGTATAAATACGTGTTGATTTTCATAATAAAACGATCTGTTGCCACGCCCTTGTCTTCTGTTGTTACACCATCAGTGAGAGAGATTGAGCAGAGGTTGCTGCCTTCACTTATCTGGGAAGCATCATTTCAACCAATTAGCTCGACTGATATGGTAGCTAAAGTACTAGGATGAATAATAATGCTTAGATAGGGCGGTTCTTGACATGAACAAACATGAGAACTAGGCAGCCTTTAGAGAAGGGGGAGGGTGTATTGATCATATACTCACCCTCTGCAAGATTTTAAAACACAGGCTAAAAAAACATTTTTGAGTCACATCGCTATTCGTCTCCTGTCAGTGCTTTGTAGAATGCCTAGATGCTACAACTAACAATCCCACAAATATATAAGTAGCTTAAACTCACTGTAATTGAATCCATGCACTGATTCCCTATTCTCGTTCAACCAGTCATCATCAATCCTATGTGAGCCAACACTACCCGTCAAATAGGACGGTTTCTATGCATGTACAACAAATATGCTGGACCAAACAGATCATGTAGCTCCACAATTTCACCAGTACACTATCCCTTGTTACCTGGCGCTTGATGTCTAACTCACTATCACTCAGCCTAGTCTACAGTCCAGAATACTTGAAATGTTCGACTAACAAAATTTTTCTGTGTGGTTGAACTCAACCAGAAATTCATCACTAATGTACAGAATGCTGAATATAATGCAATTCTCTTAAAATCCCACTTACTAAAACTGACATCTATGACTAAATCTCCCGATAATTGTATTCGCAACTAATTAACATCTATGGCACAGCAGTACACATATCGTATTCAGAATCCCTGAGTGCTTCTCAAATTACAAAATAACAACGAAACCATTCGAAAGTCATGTTCATTTATATTTTCAAACAACACTATTTATCTAATTATTAGTAATAAACAACGTTCATGAATAAATTTCAGTGAAATCAAATAAGGTCAGTTGTCTGCTTAAACTTATCAGTGTCAGCTGCGTGATCGTCTACTTACAGAAAAATGTATTAAAATAATCCCTGTGTGACTTAAAAAGACTGAGTGTATTATAAGTAGCATGAAATTTAAAAGTGAATATTCAAAAGGTTGCTGAACGAATGCCAATGAACATCAGCGTGATGCAGATTGTGTCATGTTCTCATTTTGTTTAACATGTGCAGATGAATTTGTCTTTTACACACAGTAATACTATTTTCAGGTATACCTTCTTGAAGAAATCCAATCAAGTTACGTTCAGTAGACAATGCTTCCAACGGATTAGTTGAATATCGGCAGCATTCAAAATCATCGTAGAGGAATATTTTCTCCCTCTTTCTCCCATTATCTTTACTATATCACTCTTCACATTTGATTTTCAGCATTCCTATTTTGAAATAATAGCTAACACGTGAAACACAACCAATGCTCAAATGATGATAGGGCAATATGCAAAATATCAAGTTTTGATCACCAATCAAAACTTTTCACACGTAAGCTGCCACTGCAATACAACTAATGAAACAAAGAAAGGAAAGATTTTATTAGAGTGAAGTTGCCTATTAGGCAGAAGATCATTTGAATACATCTAATGAGTGGTCACGTTTGCAAAGATTTTGCGCGAAACATTTGTGAAGTGAATCATTATGTTCAAAACGGACTGAAAATGCGAAGGAACTTTTGTAATTACTGAATTCGACTAGGTACTGAAAATTAGTTTCGAACTGTTTCCATCTATGCAGCTGATAGTTTTGATTTCAGCCAAAATATCGCCAGATTAATATTACGATGAAAGCAGAGATTTCATCAATGTAAACTGCTGTCTTAGACATGAAGAATTTAGTAGGACTTGTTATTGGTGGTTCACTGGTTGCGTGTTTCTCAACCACGAAAGTGGTCAAGGTTCGATTACCAGTCTGTCCAATCCTACGGAACGCCAGCCAATAATTAGCTGGGAAGAAGATTAAGGTGGAGTGTGGTCTTGGAATAGCAGTTGTCTCAAAATGACCCAGCGAATAATGAAACTTCAAAGTTCAAGCATGGAACCTTGTGTTTCACTAGACATAGAGAAGAATGAATAATGCTTCATATCCACACCCTTCTGCGTTCATCAGCAAGCGATTCAATGGCTCACTGACTCACTAAATTCCTCTCTCTCTATCAATCACTACTCATTCACGAACTGATTTAAATCCTGTCAAATCCATCATTTACGCAGGAAGTTGTGAGTGATGAACACGTCTTCAGGGTAGACTGGTGCTGATGTCACGAATTCATTCATGATATAGTGCTGATTATTATTATGTATGTAGTTGGAAAGAAAGAAAGAATGAGAATGCAGGTGCATAACATAACATGATACGACAGATGCATGCAAACATGCATGCCTTTACATGTACAAGCAAAGAAACATGCATTGATGATAGCATACAAACTACACAGGCACTCACAAACTCACACATATATCCATAATATACATGCATACGTGGATACATACACAGATATCTAAGAGGATAGAGTCAATCGTAGACATATAGTATGTGCCTGCAGTGAAAGGGATTTTCGGCGATAAACTATCTTGAGAATTAGGATGGACTTCAGGAGAGTCAATGAATTCCTTTCGCACGTATCTTAGAATGAAACATTCAATTCACACTCGCGGGTAGGTGAACAGACAAACACATAGACTACAGAAGAGATAGACTGATGGACATCCAGACAACAGACCCACACCGAGGCAAACATCAGTGATTGGATGGATTGATGAATTAATTGGTGATTATGCAAGGAGAAGGATACTATTTCTGTCAGCTTTCATACGTGTATGAATTCTGATCATTTTCGTACATGATTTGTAGACGATTGACTACTACTACAGTCTCCTTGTTCGTAGGTGATCCAGTTTACAAGTAAGATTTGGTGAGTGTAATTTAATTCCTTAATTCATCTAGGCAATCTGAAGCTTAGATTTAACCATTTCCTACCTATTAATACTTGAGGATGGAAGTTGAAAAAGATTTTCGAGGCGTTGATTCCCATTTTTCTGATAAAATCTACTCGTACTTCTTGCGTTAATGCTGAATGCATTCAGTTATCGGGTAAATTGTTGATCGTTCTTGAATGCGATAAGTTTATATTTTGAATGTCAAATATGATGTAATTGCGGGGAATCGAATGACTGGAGATTTATTCATCTCAACTGTTGAAAGTATATGCAAATATATGATTGTGCTTCATTCGCGGACATGTGGAATACGGTCAATACGTTTTTAAGGCTGTACAGTTTTTCGTCCTATATAGCTCTATCCACAGAAGGGGCCAAATATGTAGATACGCTTAGATGTGCTAGGGCTAAGAAGCTTGTCTTTGGATTGAGCAGTCATAACTGGTCTGCTGGATACTTACAAACAAAAAGTGACAATAGAGAACAATTTTTGTCTTTTCTGTACCTTTGTGTCCACCTTGGCCTAGGAAAATTCGTATCAAAACCCTCCCACCCTTTCTTATTTTCTATTTTCTTCGAACTTTTATGTTATGTTTATCTGTCCTTTTCATTCTTAGTATTATGTAACTTTTAGGTGTTGACCTAATTTATTTATTGCATTGTCTATATATACACATATTACTACCTCTGTTATTCTTATCGCCAAACGTACTCAAATCCCCATTCGGTAATGTCTACAATTGAGCAAAATATCATGGAAGTTTTCTTGATTGCCGTACTGCTGGACTGCATACTTTCAATGGTGGAAGTTAGTCTTAATCCTAATTGTAAATAACTTTTACTCAATGCATCTTATTTACCTAGACAGCTGTAATATACTAGTTCAATACAAAGAATAATCTGCACTTTTTATTTTGATACTCTGTATAATAATAACCACATACTACTGATTGTGTAATTCGCTATACTCTGATTATAGCCATTAAGTGAATAGTCCTTATTTGAAATTGAATCTAGCATCATTGTAAAGTACACTGTTACGCATATCAAACGTGTTTATTGAATTTAGTGTTTGTTGTTTTCACTATTCGACATTGAATCTCCTGTCTAATAAACAAAATATTGGTTGAATTCATCTCTAGAATCAGAAGTCATTATTTGAACAACTGATATTTTATGACAAATACTTTGAACAATTTTCAGACTACACAGTTCAAAATCCTTCAGGTTGTTAAGCCTCAGGAGATTCATGAATAAGTAAAGTGTATAAATACTTAACATTTTAATTTTTATCAACCAAAAAATTGGTTACAATATTTCTTTACTTATTGTGATTAGCATGGAACAAAGTCTCACTTATTTATTATTAAATATGGCACAAAACAATAGATTGAGTTTTCATAAATGTTCTGAAACAAATGAGATAAAAATTGAAACAATCTGACTATTGACTCGCTTCAGGGTTGTGTTTAAATAAGTAGTCAGCATAAATAGAGGGTTTTCACGGTAAGAAAATGCATATTTCACCACACAATCACAAATAAACAAACATCCTGTTTCAAGATTTCTGGATCATAGTATGTTCAAAACAAAAATACTCATTCCCATTAGTTTCGAATTGAATGTAATCCTCACCGTGTAATCCTGCAGTAGCCTTAGAGCGACTGTTTCAAAATAATCCAGCAAATCCACTAAAGAATGATTTTTAGGTAGGAAATATTCAGCATTTGTGTGTCAACCACAATGCATTCTCATTCATCATTCATGAGCTGAGGGGGTCAATGCATTTCAGTCTGACAAACGTTTCCTGGAAGTCAGAGGTCCAGATCGTAATTCTCTGCAATTCAGAATACACTCTACTTATTTCTATTCAACAACACATCTACAACTGATCGAAAAAAGTGCAGTGGACCGACGATTAATTCATTGAGAATAATTTACAAATATGTGAGAAAAACGCCAACAGATGACTATCAGAGTAAAGATGATCAGTCGAGCACTACCAAATTTTCCTTGATATAAGCTGCGAATTGAAACCATATTTATCACAGTCAACACACATGAAAATGGCCACAGTGTTCCCCTTCACTAAATATATTTCTTAAAAGTATGAGTCAAGTATCCTTCAAAATGTCGCAGACATTGTTTTGCCTAACAATACATAAATAAGGGTTGTCTTTTTGTAAAAATTAAATATCATCCAAATAACTGCGAAGTTTATTCCATAATGACAAGCAACAGCATGAAAAAGTTGGATGATTTATGGCAATGAACAACTAATGTAAACTTTCTAAAAAGGATCAGCTTAGTGCACCTTTGGTCATTGCAGATATGGAAAGGTACACCAATGTCATCATCGACCAAGTGAGCAGAGATAACCCAAGTGGTAGGAGACTTGTCGTCGGCTCTTCACTGCAACGTTGTAAACGTTGTCCAATAATATAAAGCACCTACAATACAAGAAGAAATATTACCATATTACAAATACATGGATGAGCTCTGAAGTAGTAGAAATAAAATGAATTCACCATACCAAAAGTAAAATACCTTAAGTGCTCAAAGCCGAGTAGACTACACAATTCGTGTAAATTTGTGAGAAAGAGACACTCTACGTTAACATTGTTTATTCATTTCTAGTTCAATAGAACATCTGGATATCATCGATACACCCAGCCACTAAATATCTGATCCTTTTGAAACGCCCGCTGTAATTCTGTGAGCGACACACAATCACATTTGTTCATGAGGAAGACTAATTTGAAAATATCTAATCAGGATATAGTAGTGACATTAAGGATGAAGCGCATCAGAATTGTTGATAACGAAGAGTCATGAACATTCAAAAAATTCTTCGTCTGACTTACTATCGATATAGTGGCAATGACGATTAATCCAGAAATTATACTCGATGTTTTCTGCAAGTAAATGAGAGAAAGTGATATGCATTCATTTTTCATCAAGGACAGATTATCGGTTCGTTTTGTATATAATACGAACAGCTTAAGTCTATTCACATTTGGTATATTTATTCTCTACTTGTGACTACAAAATATGTGATGTATTGGGTGAATATCAACAAGCAGAAAGAATATGCAGTAGGGTCTTCAACCAGCTGAAATTAATGTAACTCTTACCATGATAGCTGACCTTTTAGTTAAGTAACGAATCTGTAACAATGATTCATTGAATCAATTCAGTGAATCACTGAGGACGGGGTAAAAGATATTATGAGTTCCTCAAATTATTCACTACTCATTAAAATAATTAAAATGATCTCTGTGTGGCACATTTACCCTGCCAGTGCATCCTTGAGTATTGTATTTCAATCCACGAATAGGTTGTCTTAAATGTATGACTGATGAGTATTGTTATGGTGTGCATTTCATGATCTCTGTGAGGCTCTTGAACTGTAGAGGAAAGGATTAGCTAGCATATGATGGAAATGATGTTGACTGTGTATCGAGAAAGTAAATGCGAAATGACGATGAAAGAAGCAGAACACTAATCCTCCCTGAAAAATGGAATTTCAATGCAAATTTATCATATTTTGAAATAATTGCACTAATATTCCACCTAATAAATGGATTTGCCACCAATTCTTATCAAATTTATACCTACTGGAAATCTTCTTGTCATAATATAGTCAATAATCTTTCTGACGGGCACTGGCTATAACTCATGAAACGGAAAACTATCATTATCAATTGAACTAAATGAGAGGCATTATTCTTTCAATTATCATCAAGATACTCACCAGAAAACCAGAAAGTCTCAGAGCAATCAACACGATGATAGCTGACACCATCATTCCTCCAGCCGTGCTCAGTAGTATGATGCTGACCTTCTTTCTCCGCCTCTCCATTTTGTATCCGATGGTGAGTGCAGTCACAGCTACAACTATCGCCAAAGACCATGCTAGAAGGGTCCACCATCTCAAAGACCTCGTCAGAACAGGCAATCCGAGAGACTCAAATAAAATCTATAATGTAAAATAATAAGATTTTAAAGAGAAATTATAACGATGTATCCTTAGATGAATTCAGACTGTAACTGTGTAAACAGTGGAAAATGTGGAAGCCTGTAACTCCATATCAACTATTTTTATATTTATATTCATTAATGACAAAACATCCTAGTATGATATTTCCAGTTTATTTTTGAAGCCCATGGGTTCAAATTTGGGCTCAGAATACACCTTTTATCTTGAAAAATAATTAACGAACATTTAGGGCTTTTATCAACGTCAAACTTACACAAAGTGCCATGAAAGCATAATTAGCTGGAAAACGCTCTTGAATTTCCTCCACATAAGTAAACACTATCACAGAGAGGATGCCAAGTACACTGAAAAAGAAAAAAATGAAACTGTGAGATAAATCAAGGGGAGAATTACATGCATCGGCTCTTCATGAAACGTCAGAAAGTATTAGTAATAAATAGCTTTTATTCAACATCATAACTCTATTGCATCTCTTGGAAAGTTCGTCCTAATTATTTTATTTTCGATTACAAATCACTCATAAAAGCACCACAATAATATATACAAACAAATAAATTTGCATAAATAATATTCAGCTATTATAATTTGATATGTGATAACTCACATAAACACAAATGGTACGTAGAAAATATCATACAGTCTTTGGAGTGCCGTTCTGAGTAGGTAACTCGTAAAAAATGCATTACAATGACGACTTACATTGTCGCCGTACATATTGTAGTAATCATTGTCATCAAAACGAGTAAACACGTGAAAATGATGAACTGGATTTCAGTGTGCGTTACATTGGAAATAATACACTAATATACCTACCCTTCGAAGGCAGACTCTTGAAGAAGTAATCTTGAGGATTGTTTTCTATGAATGAATTCCTTTTTATTATCTCACAAACCTTAGAATTTTTGCTTGCTTTCACCTTCCACATTGTCCAGAACGAAATCACTTAGGATGATTAACAATTGAGATATTTGTAATATTTTGGAGAAACTTCTAAAATTTAAGTATACAGAATTACAGATTCATATCGTGATACATTTCATCTGATATCTTTTATACGTGAAAATTTTTAAGTTGAAGAAACTAGGCTGCATACGTTGAAAGCAATTCAGAATAACAGACTATATCCTTGATTAATTCTGACTTACTGGATGGATGAGCATCAAGCATGTTTTGAATGATGTGTTCTAATATAATAAAATGAAACGCTCCAAGCAGAAATCTCCAGTGGCTCATATTCTAATGCAAGGAATGAATTTCTTTATAGGGAAATTTCAACTATGCATTTTGAGTTCTATTTTTATGTCCTCACTAGTGGCTATTTATATCTCAAACAAAACTCTGAATCTAGTCTCGATCTTTTCAGTGCTTCCAACGAACTATATCAGCATAGCTGAATGAAATAATATGAAAGAATAAACTAGTCACTAGAATGTTATTGATCGCTGTGTTTGGCGAAATATACTCTACTTGAAAAAAATTCGTTAAACTAGAATCACCTTCGTTTAAACAAGGCTATTCTGTGGCTATAAATTGTATGATATTCAATTCTCTCATTATGTTTCACTAATCTTAACCATCCAAGGTAACTACGTGTGACACCTTCTCAGAATTACTGATCACTAAATCTTATTTTTTTCAGTTTTCGTAAAGTTCGTGTTTAAAAAAAACCCTCTTCAAAAGAAATGAACACTGGACATAGGGTTACCATGCAACAAATAACTGTTAGTTGGAAATGCACAATGGCTAACTCATCATAAATGATGAGCTGGTGAGCAGGTAGGGGTATCAGATGCAACGTTTGAATAAATGGATGCGTTTTTCAAGCATGTACTCCGCCGTACCTTCCATATCGAGAAAATTATTGTTTAGCCGAAGCAATACGCACGCATAATTTCTCGTATAATGCATTTGTGCTATACATTTTGGACAGTATGATCACACAAGGACTTACCATGGGAATATAAATGAAATTAATAAAGAGTTATGAGGAGAGAAAACAGACTTACCTCAAGTTAAAAGGACGTATTCAGGGTAAAAATAACAATAAAATCACTCAACCAAACAAGAGAGGTAATAGCATATATGCTATGGAATCATAAACGTTTACTAAAGAAGATTAACTGCAATGATGAATTTTCTTTGAACGCATAATGGCGATTTTAACTCTCTGATTGTTAAGGACTCTCACAAATGCTGAGCTAAGCCCTGAACACCTTAAGAACGTTATACACAAGTGTACCAAGTGTATTTCCCTGATTAAAAACTACTAGTGAATTGAATGCGTTCAGTGTACGGTTGGACATGTACTTAGTCAAACGCATTGCATGTTATAAAGGCGGCCTGCTTAAATCATTGGGCTACCGAAATTACTTTCCTCCAAAATGCTTAATTTCATCTGGATTTATCATTGTTTTAATCGTCCAGTTATATCAAATGACCTATACATAAACATGCGCGATGATTTAACTTGCTCCCAAGTAAACACTGTACAATTCTTCAACGAAGTGAAGATATACTTCAGATTATTACTTTACATGTGAATCCTGTGTGGAAAAAAATGTACTTCGGAACTGAATACGCTGAAAATTTTTGTACCGTATATTCGCATACTGTCTTAAATAAAGCTTTACCATTATTATTATTAATTAGGCCTTCCTCAATACTGAGCTCATTTTGTTGGTAATAATACCAGGTGGACAGTGATGCAGTGTTAACATTCATTTTTATATTGTTTCCAAAGTTTTGCAGTCTTTACGAAAACAGTTTCACGAACAACAGAGCTATTTGAGTTTTAACAGTCTAAATGAACATCACTGTCGTCAGTGGTATGTTGTTTCAAAATTTGTTTTTGTTCAGACAGCCATTTTCATTGATATTATATTAATTTTTGTTTTTGATCGATCGAGAATGAGCATGACGACAATTTCAGAGTCAACAGAAATCGTTTTACTTACAATCGAGTACTGGATTCGAAAACTGCCAGCAGTTTGTATGGTTGCTCCCGCTATATATTTTTCTAGTATTTTGAACACCTATTAGTCTCTATATTCAGTCTGCTGTGACATTTGGAACCTCTCTGTCAGAGTCACCTACTGCATTAACCTCAGGAACAACAAAATTTTCAGAAACTTACATGCATTCGGGTGGCGCCTCGTTAATCTATTACCTTGGAATAAATCGCAGCATCGTTGAATGTAGTACACGTTTCACAGCATACAATCCTTTTGACAGAGAACATACAGTGAGGTATGGAATTATGTGAGCATGGTGAAGACAGAATAAAAAGAATTTTGTCTGGAACGTTGAAGTTTCACCTTTCCGTCTTAACGAAGTGAATGCTTTCTGTTATCGGAAATGCTACTTATCACTCGGAGTTACTACAGCTAACGAACCGCCATGTTAGAATGTCGCTCCTACATTTCATCGTTTAATTAGTCTAAATCAGCATTCAATTAGGAAACGCTCGTAATTATCTTTGCTTAATACTAATAAAACATAATGGGAGAATAATCACATAGGCTGGATAACCATAGTTATTTATTAGATTCTCCTGCTGAAGAAATCCATTATGCAGGAAAGACATTCGGAAATCAATAAATATTTGTTATGTATCGGAGCAGGGTGAAAAAGTTGTCAGAAAACCGAAGGCAATGGAGGCGCGCAGCTGAAGCCCTATGTTCCTCTAGGAACTAAAGGATACAATAATAATAATAATGTATCGGAGTGATAGATGATTTTATCATGGAAATACTTATGCTTTGGCGTCATCACATATTTCGAGCAAAACTTATTTATGAATCGGAGACTGATAATCATTCACTGAATCATCAATAGGCTTACCTGTTTCAAAAGTGACGTCCTTCTATCACACTTCACACTTTTATACTCTTCAAAACGTGATTGAGTGGAATGATAAAGTTATCAATGCACTTTAGACGTCTGCTCATGGTTAAACGCTGTATTGATTGTTATTAAAGTTTTCTGCCTGAATGTGATTGGTGGATCATTATTTGAAATCTACGTATCTTTATTTCAGCTGTTAATAAAGTGAATGTTGTGACGTCAAGATGCAATTTCATGATCATATTTGTAGCGTCTTGATACATTCAAATGGTTGAAGTCAAGCACTTCTTTGTGACAAGTACTTGTGGATTCCTTAAAGTATACTTAATATTCATCTCCCTGACAGAAATCTACTTGATGACGGTACTGTAAACAGCTGAAGATATGAAAAAAATGACCCCAAATATAACCGCAGACTGAGTTTGATGATCAGAATTTGTGAAGTGAAATGAGGCAAACTGTTTAAAAACATTTAGAGATAATTTCAGCCTGAGTGAATTGATGATACATTGGATGATGTGGTGAAATATGTAGTTTACTTTGATTCATTAATTTATATGACCTAGCTGGGCGTTACAACATTACTATTCACACTGTCATTGTACTTTACAGTCTCGTATATAGTTGAAAACTGTTATCACCTTTTTATTTTTGCTGAGTAAAAAACTTATTGCAATTCTGTTCGATACTGAAGTCAATTAGTTTAACTCTGAATTCGGAGCATTCAATTGAACACTTTTGACTATTTCAGTGAACATCTTACAGAGTAATCAATTTCATCTGAAGAAACCATTCAGTGAATTTGGGATTGTTAGAAAGCGCTCGCACGTTTTCGTTTTCTCAGTTTAAAATATACTGATCTTCCCTTATTTTCATTGTGAAAATATCTTGGATGTCGATTACTCTGGTTGACCACCAGGGCATCTCTCTGTGTTATATAACTCGAGGAAGAAGTTCAGCATAGTGTATTGGCTATGTTGAACATGGTTTATCTCGAGTACTGATGAACGTTCCCTGTGTGTCTTTACCAAGAAATAAAATAATATAATTTTATTCCCCCCCCCGATAATTTTATGTCACACAATTGGAACGTAGAGTAAGCCTAAAAGAAGATTAAATTAACTTATTAGACGGCCAGTCATCATGTCAATTTCCCGAATGGAAATATTGAAGTCACTTTTCGCACTTCTGTATTACTGACAGCTGTGACACACTTTTCAAATAAAGCTCTGAATGTCTGTCGCATTTCTGGCAGCCTTTTGGATTTCATTCAGTAATTGCTTTAAACATTTCCCTTCAAATTCAGTCGCAATATCTGTCGATATCTGTCGTTGTAACATCGTTCATTCATACCGAATACTTTCTTCACTTATCATGAATGTACCTTGCAGGAATAAACGAGGAGAACAACTTCCCCATAATTTTAAGTTTGATGACCAATTGGTCTATAATTTCTCATTTTTTGGCAGTTAAATAAGATTTATAGTTTCATCAGTAGTTAGAGACATTCTAGAATATTTATGCCAACATCATTTCAGACTGGTCCCAGTTCCTGTGTTGTCTAATGTCGGCATTCTTCGATAGTTTGTCAACCTAAACTGCTGTTCAGTCGCGAGCATATTCTCAAATGATTTATGCGGTAAAATTGTAGACACGTCCACTGATGTCTGTGTGTCTATTTACCGATTTCATGAGATGATCTCATCTGGTCAAGTATCTTATAGATTCAGACATTTCTGTTTCAGTCGTCACTGTGAAATCAAAGCTTGATGTCAAAGCATTTCTTGAATTTCATAGCATGCATTTACACTCAGTTATTTGCTAAGATGTACAGTAAGCAACTGAATTCGAATAACTGCCTTAACTGGCATTTTCGTCAGTCTGCTCGTTGGAAACGGGAATAGTTTTGTTCTTCTTGTTACAGCTAATCACCTAAATACTCGTTTTACAATAAGAAATGAATAAAATGAAGACTGTTAAAGCAAAGATGTATTGGTCAGAAAAAGGTCAATGTAGCTTATGATTTGTTTAATTAACACAATTAGGATATGAAGACAATGTTTCGCTGGTGAGCGTGTACCTACAACAATAGAATGACTTAACATGGTTTTCTTTAACTTAGGAACAAAGGTGAGGTATAGAGGTGTCGGGAACACTGACTTGCACTACGTCTTCTCACGTCCTAGTCATTGGGAAGGAGACATAGAGAACAAGTATTTTAAAAACGAGGACAAGGGGAAGTCGTTCGTATTGTATATAAAATGAACCAATTCGTTGTTCTTGATGAACACTGAATTATTTTATCACATTCTCTCATTTATTTGCAGGAAACGTCAAGTTCACTTTCTGGATAAATAATCACTTTCCCCATATCTGTAGTAAGTCAAACGGTGAATCTTGTGAATATTTGTCACTCTTAATAATCGACAGTTCTGATGTGTGCAGTTTACATTAAATTACTTCATTACTTTTGCATATTCTAAAGTTTCCGTTTATATTGTTTGTAGTATTAGTCTGTAGAGATTAACATGGGACATTTCATCGTTATTTATTATTTGGTGTAAAGATGAATTGAGTGAATCCGGATTTTTAACTAAACTGAAGCTAATCTAACCAAATGTTTGCAGCGATTTTCAAAGCTTCCCAAATTTGCATATCTAGTCAGTGTTATTTCTGACTGGACAATTTTTAAAACACTGCAGGAAAGGAACATCGACAGGTCTTTGACCATAGCCGCTATCTCTCATCGCTTGAACGATAGCGATATGAATATATTTTTCCATATTTGCAATGAGAGACGATTCACGCAATCTTTCTAATGTAAAAAGATTCGATAATGTGTTCTTTGTTTGGAAATGAGATGTGCTTTATTCATAAATCATTCCCTTCTTCGATGGTGTTGTTGATAGTTTTGACACATATTTCAAAGTTATGTGAGTGATATTTATTAAATACACGAAGACAACTCTTATTCGTCTGTTGGAGAGCTAAACAATAACAACCAAACCTTATAGAGTACTTGTCTTTTACGTGTAGTCAGTAAACAATTTTGGCTTATTTTACGTTTGATGACTCGAATAAGGGCGGTTTCAATTTACATCCGATACTACTGAAGCAAAACTTTTTGGGGCTCTAATGTTTGTCCTGAGTTAGACGACTAGGTGTAGACGTTCTCTTTATGTGTCTTGAAGTTATTCTCAATGATTCAATAGTTGCACCACTACACGTTTTCCGATCGGTTGCAGATGTGGTATTCGACATAACTAAGTGAAACATACACTAATTTGTTGGGAATCTGCATTGAATATCATCATGGAAAGTGATACCTTCAGCTTGTGACTTTTGAATGTAACCACTAGTTGGTCTTTTAATTTCCGTTGATTTACAAGCACTGAGAACTACCAATCTGCAAATCAGAAAGATGTTTCATATATAATGACTACAGTTTCAGTTTTGTCCACTGTTTACGCAAAGTGATATATTACGCTAGTATCAGTTAAGAAGTGTTTATGTCAAAACTCTACTCTTAATGTGTGAACTAACGGGTTGATTTTACTGTTTACTTTATTATGTAATACATTAACCTGAACCTTTGCACAGGATTCAAGATTGAGTACTACATCATATTAGGAACTAACTGATATGAAGATACAATAATAGGAATTAATACGTTCATTAGAATATTTTTGATCTCCAAGATGTTCTGTCCAATCTACTACATCAAGAAAACTATAACTATCTGGAATCACTCAACCTCTGCTTTATAATTTGTTAACTCGTGTATCTTTCCTATTGAAGTGAGAACGTATGAACCATCATCTTAGTGTATTGAAGAAATATAATTCTCAGAACACATATGATATATAGATTATATATGAAGTGTTATTTTTTATAATGCATTAGAGGGACTTTGCTCAACGCTAATTACAATAATTAGTGAAGTATATTAACTTCTTTCAAGCGTTGAAAATAATAAGTTTGAGTCTTTTGTACCCTCCACTTATTCATGAATCTTATGAGGCTTCACACCCTGAATGACTTTGAATTTTGTACTCTAAAGTTGTGCAAAGTGTTTATCATTAAAAGTTACTTTATTACAAGTAACAATTTATTATTCTAAATAACAACTCAACAGATAATTCGTTTGTTATGTAGATGAAAGTCTTATGGTAAAAAACCGACATCTGAATAAACATGATTGATCTGCACACCAGTATTTTGCATACTGACACTCAATTTTATCCACAATATGGATTCAAGAAAGTCGTTTAACGTTATCCTAAAACATAGTTAATATTTAAAAATGCCAATAGTGTTGAAATTTGGATTATTGAATGATTTAGAACAACAGATTTAAGCTAACAATATCGCTTTCAATTAGATCTCATTTTATTAATAATAAGGATGAAAAATTGAGGCAATATGTGATAACAGGAATAATGAAAAAACAGCATGATTAAACAAACAAATGTTCAGGTGGACGT